AAAATTTTTTTTTTTTTTTTTTTTTTAAAAAAAAAAAATTTTTTTGGATTTTTTTTTTTTTTTTTTTTTTTTTTTACAGGTATTGTCTTTAAAAGATGTCGTTTTAAAACTAAACTATAATTTTGAGCCATTGAATGAAATACACAAACAAATGAATCCTAACTGAGCTGTAAAAAAGGCAGCCTCACCTCTTCCTTTTTTTGGCCCATCTACTCTGTTAGGCCAGAGTTTTTAACTGGACTGGTAGTTCTTAAACTGGATGCTGTTTAGGTGCCAAAAGATGCATTAACTATTTTGGGGAGAGGTTTTACAAAGAATGAAGGTATCATAGATCACAAGCTGTTCTTTAAAGAATCTGCATTTACTATAGGATAATTCTACGTTTGACAATAAATTTCACATATTTATTGTCAAATAGGTATGTGAATGTGTAACATTCACATACCTTAGATCAAGATAAAGTTGATCTAAGGTATTCTAGAAGACTTTAAATAATCTAAATACATTATGTTGTTTCATGGATCCTGGAATTTACAGATAATATTTTGTTTCCAGTGTTGCACTAACACAAAATAAAAATATCTGTAGTTAATCAGCATGAGTACACTAAGTAAATCTTCAACATTTTGCCCTAAAAAAAAATTTTTTATTTGTGTTTTTTTTTTTTTTTTTTTTTTTTGCATGCTGATATAAAAAGAGCATAGTGCATGAACAAATGCATTTGTAATAAAGTTATATTTAGATTAAATTAATCAAACATAGTACAAATATTAACATTTTATACAATACAGCACCCTCAGCAGTTTGATTAATAAGTAATCACATTTGTAAGGATTTAGAGAACAAATTGTAGGATGCAGCCTTGTTCCTGAGAAAGTTGACAGCTCAAAGACAATATTCCTACATGGAATGTTACTATAATCTTTTTAAGCATTTTGTCCTGTAGACAAGTCTTGAATGAAAAATTAACACAGTTAACATATATCCATGGTTGTGTCCTGGATTGATCTTAGAATATGAGTTTGAAGTTTTATCTGTATACTTTCTAGGCATTTTAGAAAAGTGTAAAACCAGATTGTCCAGCTCTGGTTAAGTGTGGAACAAGAAAATAAGAGAATGAAAAATGTTTCCATTGCCAAAATGTGTTTCCTATCCCAAGTAATATTGAAATAATTAAAACCGATTTAGAAGATGGTTTCCCATAGACAAAGCAGATGCATAATGAAGTTGGATGTTTAATCAAATGTCTCCTTCACGCTACAGGACTGGACATATCATGACATTTGGTCGTTCTTGAGGACGTTGCACGTGCCCTACTGTATCCTGTATGATAAAGGGTAGAGATATCTCTTATTTCTCCTTGGTCTTTCAGGTTTGAGCAACATTTTCAAGTTTTTTTTTTTTTTTTTTTTTGTCCACCTGCAGGTATACATCACTCGGCAGTATGGACAACTCCTACCGAAACAAGGCCCTCCAGGTGGTGGACGAGAGGGGGGTGACGCGCTACAAGCCAGCCTACCTCCTGGAGAATGAAGAAGAGGAGCGAAACTCCCGTGCCTGAAATCGTCCCTGTTCTTAGTTGTTTTATTACTGTAATTATTCAGATGTCTGATCAACATTCACATTATTCTCATAAACAGCATTTTGGATTTTGTGATTATTGGAAAACTCCACACAATGTTTATGTGACTGAACAGAAAGTGTGTAGTACAGTAATGTGTTTTCGAAGCTGCTGAATAAAACATCAGTTCATGTGTCTTTTTTGGCCTTTGTCATATTTCACACAGATCTGCAGGATATCCACAGCACCCCAGCAGGGTGTTTTATTCATTGATCCATTTGTCTTGTTTCTAAATCAAATAATCTGCACAGACAGACAGCTGTTATCGGAGTGCATTTGTGAATAATGTGAAAAGGTGAGGAAAATCAGGTTTTAAGACACCGTGTGTGCAGCAGCATGGACACAGAGCTGAAGGTCACCCAGCAGGCTCGTAATAATCTGTGTTTTATATCCAGAGACGGGCCAGCTGCTGCGTGTTTAACCGAGCGTCCCTCCGGGTCGTCCCCCTCCCTCCCTCCTCACATGTTGTAGTTCTCTAGGCGGACCTCACGGGCGCGTTGTTCTCACGTTTTCCAATTTAGCCGGCCGTGATTACAATAAATTACCTTCTCTGTTTCCAGACATGATTGAATCCAGGCTCATCGATCCTCTCTCTCTCTCTCTCTCTCTCTCTCTCCCTCTCTCTCTCTCTCTGCTCCGCTCCGCCTGGAGATTAGTCAACGCGGCACAGCGACGATCGATACCGGCCGATCTAATAAAGCGGGTCGCTTACGAGGCCACCGCGGGGCTGCACACACTGTTACACCGGCAATTACCACTTTTAGGTCGGTCCTTCTCTCTCTTTCCCCCTATAACACCTCTGACTTTCTGTCCTGGCTTCACGGGCCTGCTTGATTTATTAATAATAACAGTAATATAAGAGGCAATAAACAGGGGCTTCATAATCACAGCACAAATGTCATGGGGTGGCTTGTGGTGGTGCGACAAACACACCGGGACATTGCCTGAAATGATTCGTGTGGCTGAAAAATGATGTAGTATTAGACTTCCAGTCTGTTTCTTACAACCAAACTTAGCTACAGTGTAGAAATGAACAATGTGAGAACATTTACTGGAATTAAATTGGTTGCGCCGCTGCAGCTGGCATATCTAGTTACTGTTTTTAACCCACTCTTCTAAAAATAGCTCAAGTTCATTCAGGTAGGATGGAAAACCTCTGTGAGCATCAGTTATCAATAATTCTCGATTGGATTTTTGGTCTGGACTTTGACTAGGTCATTTCAATTGAGCACATAAATGCCTTGGTCTAAATCACATTTCAGCAACCTTTACAACTGAACAAGCTTATTTTTTTTGTGTGTGCCCAGTTTAGCTTTTTAAAACATTCCAAGTAAGAAACCACTAAACTTGTTTATAAAGCGTGTCAAATTTTATTTGATGGAGTGTACAATATAAAAAAGGTTTTAACATTTTCTGTTTAAACAAATTTTTTTTTAAAATAAACATATACAATCTATATAAATAGATACTATTTATATATTGTGGAAATGCTATGCCAATATAGAAAAACAGATTATTACCTCTACATTAAGAAAAAACCTGGGATAGTGTTCTGTCAACATGTTTTCTTACCTGAACTGTGGATCTGTGCACCTCCTCTGGCATGATGAATTTAACATTTGCAATTTGTACTTAACCCCTTCCATTTTCACAGGGCTGAACAGTTCTCTCTGAGATGTTCAGAGTTTGGTATCTGGTTTTAGCACCTAACCCTGCTTGAACTCTCTCCACAGCTTTAACTCTGACCTGTCGTCTGTGCCCCTTAGAGTGCATTCACACCAGCCCAGAATTAGAGTCTTGAATCAGACTCTAATTCATTAGAAAGTTTAATTTGTTTGAGAGGTGAGAATCCAAATTTGAATTCCAAAACGGACTAAAACAGTGAACTCTGATCCGCCTAAAAACCCTAGGTCTCGATCCGGTTGAATTGAACCCTTGCACGGTTGAAAACATGCCTGAATGCGCTAGAGACCGTTCCAAAAGCAGGAAGTGGACTACAGCGCAGGGCATTCTGGGTCAATACAACCATAATAAAGGCGCGTTTCCACCATTAGTGGAAAAAAATGTCTCGTGGTCTGACGTGGAGTGAATAGGAGGTAAAGGCCCTCTTACAAATATGGTTAGAAGAAAATATATCACAGAGCTCTACTTGAAATCCACTCACAAAAACAACGAGCTTTTCAAGCTTATTAGTGTGAAAATGGAGGCATTGGGATTCCCTCGTACAGTTGCACAGTGCCGTACCAAGGAAACAGGTTTTTCAGATAGCTTGAGTCGTTTTGCACAGTGTATTGTGAATGCGAGCTACAGTCCTGAAAATGTAACAAATGTTGCAATTTTGATCCCCAATTGAACCGAGTGTACCTGACTATCAGGGGTGAAAATACCTTTAGTCTCCATGATGTTGACTTCCTTTTCTTTCACTCCAAAATTCTGTAGGTTTTAGATCCTGATTTCTACATAAAAGATGATGTTAGCTATTTTACAGTATGAAAGCATATATGGAAGACTTCCTTCATTGAAAAGATTCATTTGAACATGTTTCCATTAGCCTGTATTGTAGCCTCTCTGGTTTTAGGACCATGTTTCCATCGGGGGCTGCTCACTTCTTCCTCTTTAACGCTTCTCCTTTTCCATTATTACACCTTTCTGTCCTCTTTTGTGAGCTTGTTGCTGCTGTATGAGACTTTAAAACTGTGGACTCTGTGCTGTGGCTCCATTTAAATAAAGAGGTGATTTCTGCTTCATTACTGCCACCTGGCACGTAATTGGCTGGTTTAGCAGATGGCATAAAATTTCCACAGAAAGACATTTCTGGAATATGAGCGCATGCCTGGTGGGTTCTGATGCATGAATGGATTGCTTTGCATGGGAAAGCTCAGACAGTAAAGTGATGTTTGATAATTGTAGAAACTGAAAATTAATCTGGCCATTGCCATCAAAAAACTGTGCTTATTCTGTTACTTATAATCAGATGCCGTTTGCATGACTTAGGACCAGAATAACGGACAAGGAGAACAACATATTTGTTTAGATTTTGTCAGAATCGATTAATCAGAAATATGCTCTTTCTCTGTTGGGCTTGCACGACCTTCCACTCTGCAGCCTCTCTTCTCTTTCTCCCAGCAGTTGACTGCGGTCATTTCCCGTCCGTCACCAGTTTGTCATCTGACATCCTCCATTAGAGAAAATCAAAATTCACCTGAGAACAAATCACTGGAGTAGGACATAAACAAGCGGATAGGGAGTGCGCTTAAGCGATAATGAGAACTGGTTCGACCAATTTGCATGTAATGACATTGTGCAGCAGAGTAATGCAGAGATGTTTTGAAGGCTAAATATCAGAGAGAACCAGCGCTACGTTGTCTAATCGAAAAGTCCATAAAAAGCATAAATTTGAATGCAATCATGTGCAAAAATGTTCTGAATAATTCAAAACAAATTATTCAAAAGAACATTAAATTGATTTCATGATGTGTAGAAGATGAGCACAACTTATTTAGAGCATTTCAGGTCTAAACTTAAGTACAGCAAACTAATGATGGGAGAATTTGAGTTTTTAAGCAAAATCTCATGTTGAACTCGTGGAATTTGAAATAAACAGCCTCCCTGCACAAATCAGTAAGGTAAGGGTATTAATGCAGGACCTTCATGCTTGATGCTTAGTTAGCAATCTCATGTTTTCGGTGAAACATGAGATTTCACAGAAAAATTAAGTCATTGCAAAAACCTATTTTTTGTGACAATAAGCTGCAGATTATATCTTATGTTTAGTCAGTGATGTATCTGTGTCAGATAAAGCAGCAGTACAGTCATATATTCACAATGCCTTCTTGCTTGAGATATTCAGCCCATCAAAGTCCACAAATGTTTCTGTTTAACATTTTAACCAGCATTAAGCAATGATGGAACAACTATTATCTACAGCTCAACATGGACCCAATAGAAACTCTAGTTGTTGCACTGTATAGTGACATATTTGCCTTTAAAAGGCAACGGGGGGATTCAAGATTCAGGCAAAGCTGCCATCACATATAGGTGCGTTTTTTTTTTTTTTTATGAACTTTTGTCTGTGGAAAATCACTGAGAACATTTAGTAGCAAACAGCTTTTTTTCAAATAAGAAACATCCCACCACTCAGTTAAGTGACATCAACAAGTAAGCTTGAGACGACAGCTAATGCTTTTTAGTAATCTGTTCACATGTGACAACAAGTTTTCTGTAGGATTTGTCCATTGGCTGCAAAATCCCTGAAACAATCAGATTTGATAGAGAACAGAGGTTAATATTCGTTTTCCCGCCAGCTCTGAGCAGCATCCCTGTCCTGCTGCATAAAAGAACTCCCACAGCATCATTCTGCCGTCGCCATGTTACTTCAGCCACACATATTGATTTGGAAGTAGGCTAAAAAGTTAAAATTTTTACCAGAGCACGTTTTTCCACGTCTCTGCACCCTCTACATTAGTGATTCTCAACTCTGTTCCTTCATACTTAGATGTATCTTTACTCCACACCTGATTCAAGTGATTGCATTACCTCCTTACCAAGTGGTACAGAAACCGAACAATCACCCATTCATTTAGGTCAGGTGGTTGTTTCCTGTCTACTGTTTTTTTTAATTTATTTTATTTAATATTTCTGCAGATCTAGAGGCAGTCGTCTTGGGTGTTGACTTGTGTTTTCTTTGTGTTTCTTTCCATCTCCTTCTTCCCCTTTAGCAATTTTCTCCACGTTTCTCCCTTTTTTCTCCTGTCTTATTTCTCTTTGCGTCCAGTACATTTGAAACAAACCCAAAGCAATTCATAATAAAGTTTCAATATATCAAGCAGGCGCTTGTGAAAGTAAATCTGCTGGGGCTCACCTTGACACCCAGACAGCAGTTCTGAAGGAAAACACCAAAAACAAGCAGGACAGTGGGCCTTAAGGATCAGGGCTGAAAATACCTGCTTTACGAGACTTTTAATGATATTACTTTAGTTCCTCTCTCACGAAGGTCATATGGAGTATGCAACTATTAGTTCTCCCACCTATGCTTTGGATCTCTGCATCTCCTCCACAGAGTCTCCATGGAGGTCTTTTGAAAAAAAAAAGAAAAAAAAGAAAAGGTATAGATATTGTACCTCTATCCACAGTGAAG